AGATCATCGATAACTATCAACAACATTATGGCTTTCGAGAGCCACTTTCTAAGGCTCCCATGTTGAGGCTCGTAGGCTACTCCAACCGCCCATAGAAAACTCTCAACCGCTCGGTCTCGTGTGAAGGTCACAGCTTCCGAAAGGCCTAGACTTCTCCACCATCTGCTCGAAATCCAATCGTGAGCGAACGGAAAACGGACACATTATGCATTATTTTTCAATTATTTAATAAAGTGCGGTTTTATTAAAACCTTAATCAAGGTGGTTTTAGTTAGCATGGTTACTACCTTAGAATCTCTTTCAGATCCTTTTGGTGCTGAACTTGAACCATGTTAAAGCTAAGCCTTGCTAGTCGGTGAAGTGTGTACTTTTTTGGCTCGTTTATATGTTTCTTGGCGTTAAACCAGCTTACACTCCAATGAGAAGGTACATTATTGATTTTGCCTCGATGATCACCATTTGAATTCGGATTCTTCGCGATAAATCCTTTTGCTCTGTCGAGCAAACACTCATCCTCCAAGGCCAGATAAGAAGCTTCTAAAACTTCTATCTTGGTTTTGTCGTCCAAACGCGTAGTTTCATCATCTAACAGTTGAAGAATTGAATCTGTGCAAGTTTCATATAGCACAATCAACAACTAAGCAAAAATTGGGCTACAGAGAGACTTTATATAATCACTATATGTCACCTTGCGGAACGCGATAGCCATGCTGCCTTAGAATCTTGAACTGCAATGCAGCAGAGTAGAGATCGTTTTCCATGTTCAAGCTAGTGCTCGTTTTTCCGAATGCTATCTCCTTCACGGATTTACCGATTTCCTCCTCAAAACAATACGAGAGTGCGAGCTTTTCAATCTCATCTATGAGCTCCAGTGTATTAACAGGATCTTTTGACGATCCAAGAACGCGCCCAACTTCTTCTCTCAGCCTCTCGATTTCTTCTTTGTACTTCACATCATGAATAAAAAAACAAACAATCCCAAAATCAAGAATTGAGCATCATATATACAATACACACACACACGACACGTTTTTGTTTTGCGACTTACGTCGTGTGGGTTCGAACGAGAGAGCTGCATGAGATCGTCGTAGTTCCAAATGTTCGGTTTGTAATCAGCCGTTCGCCTAACTGCTTGGCTCTCGACTATATGATCAGTGCACAGTTTTTCCATGTTTTTTTTTTTTTTTTAACCAAATGAAAAACGTTTGGTGTCTATATAATGTGATGGCAGCTTAGTTCTATCAATAGTACCAATGCTTGTAGCATATATAAATAGAGAGAGTAAAAAAAAGTGAAACATCCACGTGAAAATTGCGTACCGAAGTATTATTATTATTATTATGATTGCAAAATCCTAGCCAATTATAACTGATGGAAAAATGTGGTCACAAAACAATCTTTTTTTTTTTTTTTTTGGTCGGTCGAGGATTATTAATTAATAACAACTAGTATTAATACTCATGTACAACATGGTGTTGAGTTAATGAGTATATGTGTAAAGTTATTTATGTCTAATACCAAACCTAATTCCAGAGCAAAAATAATATAAAAATAACATCACGAACAATGGCGGACCTAGGTAGGGGCCCGTAGGGGCACGGGCCCCTGTACAATTTTTTAAAAAAATTTATTACATATAATTATGTTGTAAATAAAAAATTTAAATTGTTTACATTTTGTATTTGTTTATATTGTAGGCAACATATATAAATGGGTTACATCGATTTTCTACAAAATTCAACATTGATTTTGATACACATTAAATTTTAGGTGTTCTTAAAATTATAATTATAAGTTTACAATTAGCTACTAAATTGGATTTGTTATCGATTTTTTAACCAATAAAATTTTTATATTTATTATAAAGAAGGGGAAAAATTCAAAATTAGTCCCACAGGTATAGGGGGGTGACATTTTTGGTCCCAACGGAATCCAAAAAATATTAATAGTCCCGCAGCTTTTAAAAAATGATCAAAAGTAGGACTTTTTTTAATTTTTCGGCCCGGAATGCCACGTGGCCACATTCATCTGACGTGGCTGAGTACAATGGCAAGGAAAAAAAAATCAAAACTAGTCCCACAGGTTTTGGGAGGTGACATTTTTGGTCCCAAAAGAATCCATAAAATCTTAAATAGTCCCGCAGCTTTTAAAAAATGATCAAAAGTAGGACTTTTTTTAATTTTTCGGCCCGGAATGCCACGTGGCCACATTCATCTGACGTGGCTGAGTACAATGGCAAGG